GAATTTGGCCGGGGTGTGAACTTGAGCTATTTTAATTGTAAGGTGGTATGTTTACCTCTTTTGATATAAAGTTTTCTGAACAAGCTTTCCCTGAAAATTACATACTCAAAGGGGAACAGGGCAGGGAAGAGAGAGACATTTAGAGGCGGTCGTGTTGAAAGGATGCATACAGCATACCGCTGTAACCAGGGCTCTTACTCCATTGAGGATCTATCTGGGCTAGGTCAGACCCCCCCTTTCACCTCCTTTTCCAGCTGCTGCAGTTCCTCACGGTCTTTCATCAGGGCCTGGGATAAGCTGGAGATCTTGGAGCCCAGCAACCTGTCAGAATGGTTCAGTTTGATTTGCAAGCATGCCACTTCTTCTGTCAGATTGCTTGGGGCAAAGCTGCCCTGCACTGTGCTACTCAACCTGAGCTTTTGCGACCTGATGCCCCTGAGTACAGGTGGTGCAGCTGCATCTGTCTGCAAGGAAATAGACAGCGTGAGGAAAGACACCCAGGAAGCAAACCACAGGAATGAGAGTCAGCAGCATTCTCCTGGCTCTAGGCTGCCTCTGGCCTCCATGGCTGCAGTCACCTTCCTCATGACAATTAATGTTTCACAATCAAAGTGGGATTGTTGGGTGCACCATTTGCACAAAGCTACCAGAATGCTCTTCCCTGTGACTGCTTTGCTTGGAGTACACCTTGAGATCTGCCCTGCAGCGTTTAGCAGCAGCTCTCTCTTTCAGGGTCCTTTTTTTGTCTTGTCGCAGGGCACCAAGGTGTGCCTGCACCTTTAAGGGTGGAAGCAGCCTAGAAAAAAGCCCTGCAGACTAGGCAGAGCGCCACAGCTGCAGGTTGCCTCAGTAACAGGCTAATAAGTTAATTAGCTGGCACCTGCAGGCAGTCAGTTGACCTGAAGGAGGCAGAGCCCTGGGTACATATAAGACCAGGGTTTGGGCTGGTAGGGTTCACTCTGTCTGGCAACTGCCAGGATAAGTAGCTCCTGTGTAAGAGAGCTGCCTGATACATCTGGCTGCCTCCATGTGCAGTAAGTCTCCAAGAGCCCATAAGGTTCCCAGGGTTATGAGGTATACTGTACAAAGGGGAGAAGTTTGCTTTCTTGCAGGGGCAGAGTGTTGTCTCTTTTGGTTATGGTTATGTTATAGCCCAGGGGCTTATGTTTGTGTTCTTGTTTGTACCAGTGGTTTTGGGATGAGGCTATAAGGCAGGGGTGGACAAAATACACCCTGTGGAACATATCTGGCCTGCCAGGCCATTCTATTGGCCTGCGGGGCCCTTAAAAAATTTAGAAAATTAATATCTATCTGACCCAGGCTTCCTGTCAAAGATGACAGGAGCCAGGGGCAGTAGGACACAGGGGAAGCCACAGCAGGGCCTGCCCAGCCCAGCCCAGCCCTGCTCCCCATCTCCCAGCCAGAGGGCAAGGGGAGGGACTTCTGGTTGCAAAGGTCATGGCTTAGGGAGTGGGACTTCTGGTCCCAAAATGGCAACCAGGGGGCACCAGTCAAGGGGCAGGGCTACCCATGCGGCCTTCAATGACTTGCCAAAACTCAGTAAGCGGTCCTTTGCCCAAAATAATTGCCTGCCTCTGCTAGAAGGGGAGGAGAAGGCCTCATTAGTGCCCAGAGGGGGGCACCTGATTTTGTGGAGCCCCAGCACCAGGGGGGCACAGCTTCAGAGGACCAGAGAGCCCAGCACCAGAAGGGTGCAGCAGACAAGGGCCAGGGCCTGGTGACAAGAAGAGATTGATGAGGGCTAGTGCCTTGTAGCTGGGCCTGACACAGTGGGTCTAGGCTAAGAGGCCTAGCTATATTAACGGGGTGGAGGCCGAGTAGGCTAAGGCCCCAACAGAGGGTATAACAACTGTGTAACACCTGTGAGGCATGGAGTGTGATAAAGGGGAGGTTGGAGCTGCACAATGGGCCCATAAAGCCTGAGGTGCCCCACGCAGCACAGTAGTAGAGAGACAAAGGGCTCAAAAACCAGGGAGCCTCCTGGCTTATTTTACCAACAAGACATGGCAGGCAAGAGGGCTCCCTCAGGGTGAACTTGCATGGTTGCAGAGCGACCAGGGGCTTCACAGCCCGCCCGGGGACCACATTCCATGACGTGCCTCTTGGAGGAAATGTTTCTGCTCAGCTGTCCCCCAACTTTTCCAAACCCACTGCTCAGCAGCTTCATAACTAGAATGGCTGTGGTCACTGCCTGCTGCATGACACAGGCATGGGAAGTACTCAGGAGTCACCTGTGCTCCCAGGATGCTGCTCTGCCTAAGCATATCCAGCTGCTTTGTTAGGCTCTCCACCTCCTCCCCGAGGTCAGAGATCACACTGTCCTTCCTGGCACATTCTGCCTCACACTCGGAAAGATGATTAACCTCTTCCTCCAGCATCAGCAGGCACTCTTCCTGGAAACAGCACAGACACTGCCATCAGACATTGTTGTGAGTGAGATGCCACAGCTGTGGTTGGATGCAAAAGAGATAGGCAAATGGTCTATGAACAGATGGCTTTCTGCATTTTATGGCCAGCCTTATTAGGGAGTTTAGAGTGACTGTCGATCAGGGAATATGATCTGGTAGTCCTGAATCTTCTGTTTGGCTTTAGCAAGGGCTGGCTCTTTTTTTAACTCCAGCTAGCTTCCTCTCCTTTCTTCCCCCGTCTCCCCACACCGTGTTTCTAACATGGGGAAGTGATACCCACTTCACATTAAGCTCTGAAAAGAACCATTGAGATCCTCAAAAATCCATTTATCCCAAAAGTCTTATGCCCAGTAGCAAATCTTTTTTCTAGCTGGGTGATTTTGCAATTAATCATGTGCTTGGTCTGCTTTTCTATCTGATGTATTCTCACCTTCTCGCGGATTACATCAATGTACCAGGGGACGTTACTGCTGGAGGGCTCTTCCAGCTGTATAACTGGAGGTACTCCTGAGAAATTCTTCCATTTAGGCTGTAGGACTGGGTCAGCTGTTGGGGAAAAAATAAGCCAAAAGTGGAAAAAGCATTTATTTAAATATTATCCAAGGAGTTGAAAACTTAGTACTGCTGACAACAAATCTCTGTAGCAATCTCAACTGTTTGGGTTCCATCTATTCGCCAATGGGGAAAAACCTCCTTTGAAAACACTTTAATTCAGTATGAAAGTATATCATATTGGATTTAAAAAAAAAAAGTTAATCTACTCTCCACACTCCAGGCTTCAGAGAGAGATGTGTCTTGTAGCAGGTAGAGAGATAGAACAACTCTAATTGGCAACATCTTCTAACTCATGGGTGGATTTGTATGTGCCATAGGTCAGACTGGAACAGGGACCTTGAAGGGCAACATCTCTTCCATGCATATTCCTCCATGCAGTGTATAACATGGAAAACATGTCAGTAAACAGAACAATCAAAAGCAAGTCACCAGTGCTTTTTGCAGTAGCATACTGTGGTGACTTGCAAATGACCCAGCTTTCAAAGGATTCTTGCCCTCCTGGGGAAACTGCATGTGTGCATGCATGCACATGTGCATGTGCACACACACTTACTTTACAGTAATGCCCTT